CAACAGCGAAATACATGACCGAGTGCTCTGTTTCCAAATCATTAAAGACAAAGAATTGGGCACAAAAGATGATGAAAGTCAATCTGAAAGTGAGGGCCCTGATGGGCTATTTATATCAATTATATAAATTTATATTACATGTAAAAAGGAAGGTGGGCTGGCCCAGTTACGGGATATATAAATATTTGTCTTGTGTGTATTGTAAATTAATTTCCTGGCAATGGTCAGTGAGTGTTTAAAGGTAGGTTACAGTCCCTTCTGCGCATGTCTGTGATTGTTTTTGCCTGGGGACTCCACCGGAAGTTGGGCATCTCGGTTTATACTCGGTCCAGTCTCATTTCTGACAATAACACGCGCGTTGTTTTTTTCCCAAGCGAAGGAGTGAAGCAGCTTCACTGAAGCTAGAAGTTTCCAAAATATATTGAGCTTTTTTGAGCGACAATCCTTCAAATAACGAGTTTTTGAGGCAACATGACGAGTAGGAAAGAATACCACGCTAGCAGGGATGCTTCCAAAGTGTATCAAAGTGTATCTATTTTATTGTTTTCCTCGATGGAGAGCGTGCCAGTCTGTCTGCGTTTCCCCATGATATACCTACTACATCCTCAAGCTTCTACTAAAGGTTTTGAAGAAAAGAATCCAGGAAGGATTGGACATTTCACCCAACATAGCTGCTATTCACTCCCTTCACTGTGGATACTTTAATGAAATCGCTTGTTGAAGCCCATCAATCGAGGTTTTAATGACTATAAAATTCTCTTTATTTACTATTTTAAATTTTAACTATACACTATTGTTACATACGAACTGTTCTATCTCTTTTATTTCCAAACTGAAACCCATATAATTAAGGCCTAAAGATCTGATCGATACTCGTGAGTAGGAGTTGTCAATGAAAAGTGTTAATGAGCAATTTGGAGTCAACATGTCTTGGATGGCTGTTTATATAGTGTTTATTGTTGGCTGTTTATATAGTGTCCAGATTGATAAAAGATATAAATTAATCTACTTGACCGTGCTTTACTGTCTTTGACTGTCTTCTCATGGACAACTTGTGCTCACTTAATAGAAACACATAAAAAGTTTCTCTGATCAAAGTATATTTTAATCAAAGCAGCTTACAGCCCTCGAAAATGAGGTCGGCTTCGGCAATGCCGACCTTAATGCCGACCTATCAACCTCCCAGGCCGGCAAATTTTTGCCGACGTTAATTCGGCAAAAGTAAGAATTTTTTGGTGCTGATAGCTGTTAAAAAGTCAGCGATTATAAAATTTGATTCGTAGTTCGATTAACTAAACACACTTTGGTGTAAGGTTTAAAAATTAACGTTTAAAAATTAAACCGCCTAAGACATTTAGTTTATAAAATATTTTGATCACAGAAACTTATATGATGTAAACAAACTCAATTAATAATTACTAGTATATTTTTCACCCTAATTGTGACTAAAAGCTTGCATATACTGTAAGAACCTACAATTTAAGAACCTGTCAGGCTAAATTTTTTTATTTAGACACCCTAAATAAGAATTTGTTTAGGCTAGCATTTCAGGTTCTTATTTTATCACATGAAGACAATTCAAATCTAAAAATGTATATATAAATCAAAGACAAAAAACTCTTCACAAAGTAATGAAAATTATCCAGAACACTGAAAATGTCATTGAGATAAATAAAGTGTTAGCAGCTTTACAGTATAGCTTTACACACAGCTATTAGTTAGATAATTTGTGCACAATTTATATACAGTATATATGTATATATATATATACATGAAAATTATACCTCACATACCAAAAATGAATCGCTTTTCTTTAAGAATTTAACCTAATTTCCAAGCTCTAATGATCATGTAGTCACTACATGTATTGTCCAAGGTGGGATCTGGGGGGTTGAAATCCGAGCTTTCTTTCTCCTAGATGGATTGCCTCCTACACAAAGCAATCTGAAACACAAGCCAGTTCATATTGTACTATGATTGCCTGATCTTGTGTCAGTACTTTCAGGGGGGCCAATAATTGTTTGTAAATTATTTGTATTAGCCTATCATATAACCCAATAAATCTGTTAAGAAAAAGAAAGACTGATTCGTTGATGTAAATAAAAATTTCATCAGTGTTTCCTGAGCATTCTGATAGTGAGCTCTGATATACAGCGAAACAAGCATATATTTAGCAATTGTCCTCTGTCTTGAAGAGACATGAAGAACTAGTAACGTGATCACTAGATTGACCAGAATTGTTTAAGTTAATATTACTATTAGATCATTCAGTGTCACAAGAATATCATCATTTAGTGTCAATATGAGAGTAATATCAATGAATTCATACTTCCAGTTCATAATTTCAAAACATACATGTATAACACAAAAAAGTTGAATATAATCTTAGCGTCTCGTACTCTCGTCACTGTCAATCTATTGAACTCTTTGTTGTTTACGAAATCATCTCTATAGCGCGCACGAGCTTGAACAAAAGCTGTTTATCCAGCGGTCAAATATTTCGCCCTTGGCTTTGCCACGAAGGCAGGAGAACTGCAACCACATTCTCAATCACACTTGTTTCGAATTTCGTCAAGCGAAAAGCTTTCCCCAAGGCCAAGCGCTTCTGTCATAATGACAACAACAACACTGGCAACATGTTTCGAGGGATTGATACCGCATTAAATATTTTCATGATGAGACACTCCAAAGGTAAACACAAATTATTCGAACTCACACCTTCGGGATTTCGGTTCGCCGCCCCAGCTGTTGATATAGCAAGTCACACAACGTTCAAAGCGGCCTCTTTATAACTTTATTCACGATGTTTACAGTTACAGTATAAGATTGGGCTATTATTTCCAGTGTAGAAATGTACAAGAAATGAAACGAAGTATTGTTAAACATTGCACTCCTCGGTCACAAATTATGTGGAATGTTACTTTGAACCCGTGATATACTTCATCTTATATAATTAATGTGGATCAAAACAAAAAACGTAAACAAAGCCCGCGCATGCGCAGAAGGGACTGTAACCTACCTTTAAATATTTAATATATGGAGAAATTGTGGTAAATGAGTTTTCACCTTTTTCAAGTAATGCACCTATCAATGTTAACCCCAAGGGAGGGGGGTCGGGCAAGGGGTGGGGATTTGACATTTTTACAAAAAAAATGTCAAATGCCACTCCTTCGGGAGAACATTCCTGGGCAAAATTCCCCGGCCCCGGGATGAAATTGTATTCCTGCAGTATTTGATTTCTGGTGCACTCTATATCTCAGGTGATAGGGAAATTACACAAATACATTTGGCGGTATAGTTTAAAAGTATGACAAATATAAAGAACGTTTCAAAATAACTTAAAATACTCATTAATAATTCATATACCTTGCGGCAAATCATGTTAGCCATATATTATGTCATGTGAAGTGAGTTTATAATATCTGATAAAACACTAGCCTGTGTTCCAGTCCGCTACACCACAGTGTAATAGACTGGAACACAGGCTAATAAAACACAGTATTCTTATATAATTATATTGTCAGTATTCTTATATAATTGTTCGCCCTAATTAGTATTCTTTTGTAGTCGTATTTTAAGTTGTGCGCCTCGCGTTTGATATCTGATAAAACACACTCTTACTCGTTTTTAAATAGTACATAATGTGAACTTTTAACATATAAGTATAAATCGATATTAATATAATTATAAAATGGCTTATAAGTGTTTATTTCTTGTCCAGAAATCTCCATATTTCTTGTAAAAACAACGCGCGAGACAGCGAGCGATAAACTAGTGCCCAGTCTTCAGTTTGTTCCATATGCCCGTTGCGGGTTAGGCGTTGACAGCTACAACGCGGGCGACGGGGACGAGTCAGAGTTTGTTCTAAAATTGGCTCAGGTTTCTTCAGTATATCGTCTGAGATCAGTGTTAATCTGTCAAAAATCCCCACCCTCGGGCACTTAGAAAAAAGTGTCAGTCCAAATCCGACCCATGGGACCACTGATTGATCAAATCCCCGTTAACATTGATAGGTGTATTAGGCAATCCAAATACAAGGGCAAAAGTACTGCGAGTGCAGTGTGACCATATATGCAAATTTTTTTACTAAAGCTGCTTAAAATTGGTTGGCTGCCCCCTCCTGTTCTTAATGTTGCAGTTGTTTAAAGCAGGTGGGGTTGTCTAAGGGCATCCAACCGGATCTGGTAATAAAATGTACTAAACCTGGTCACACTGTGCGAGTGATTTGTCAACAATAAGCTAAGGATCCAAATGCACCAGCCAACGCAAAAAGCCTGACGATAACACTATTATTTACGTGACTTGGTATATCGCGCATGAAGCGGTAAAAATACCGCCTTAGGCTTAGGGGCTATTTATATGTGGAGAGCCAGCTCGGGTGCCCGAGCTAGCTTGGTTTAAGCAGGATCCCGTCTTTGTTAATATTTCCTACTAAATTTCATCTTGCGTTTATATGAGAACCGAGCTGGCCCGCCTAACCGAGGTCCCGCTTCATGTGACCCGAGACCTCGGGTAAACGAGCTGGGTAGTTTTCCATATAAACGCAACAGGGAGGGCTAGCCCTCCTAGTAGGGCTGGAAATTTAGCAAATACGCATGCGCAAATAATTAGAATAATTCAGAATGCACAAACAACTCCCATATAAGACCATATAAGGAACCAACTTCCATATATGGAGTTGTTTACGCCATAAAAAATAGAACACGAAGAGCTAGCCCTTCATGTAGGGCTAGAATTTTTCCATGTAAACAAACAAAAGTTTCATGTAAAGTGAAATTCATCTCGGGGATGCGAGCCAGCTCGAGTATCCGGGCTGGCTACCCCGCCCCCTCCCCTGTAGACCCTCGAACAGGTCTCCCTTTCATGAAATGACATAATAATAATAATAATACAGTTTTAGGAGCATCCTACAGAGTCTCGATGCTCTTACAAGGATCGGGTCTCATAATTTATACCATATTACATGTATGCAATTACTGAAATATATAAAAACGTGCTATCTAGTCAAAGTATTTCCTAAAAAGATGTGTCTTTACTAAGCCTTTAAAAATACCTAATGAACTTGAGAGACGAATGTAATCAGGTAGAGAGTTCCATAGCTTAGGAGCACTCACTTGGAATGTTCTCTCACCATACGTCTTGGTGTTCGATTTCGGAACAACTAATAAATTCTGTGATGTTGATCTCAAAGTACGCTTAGGCCTATAAATATCTAAAAGTTCTGTTATATAGTCCGGTGCTTGGTTATTAAGGGCCTTGTAAGTAATAAGCAGAATCTTAAAATCTATTCTTGCCCTTATAGGCAGCCAATGAAGCTGTTTCAATATCGGGGTGACGTGATCATATTTTTTTCCTCCGACTACAAGTCTTGCAGCAGCGTTCTGTACACGTTGTAGTTTGTCAATTTCTACAGCTGGTAGCCCAAACAGAATACTATTACAGGAATCAAGCTTTGATGTGATGAAAGCATGTACCAATTTTTCGCAGTCGTTCTGGTTAATATATCTTCGGATCTTACCAATGTTTCTTAGTGCAAAGAATGCAGATTTGGAAACATTATTGACATGGGTCGTCATTTTAAGATGGAAATCAACTGTAACTCCAAGATCACGTGCATTTGGTGAAGAAGAAATAATATTGTCATTCACATTTATCTTAAGGGGTACTTCATAATCCTTGGTGAACCGAGACGTGAGATGGAGAACTTTAGTCTTGTCAGGATCACAAGTAAGACCATTTTTTGCACACCAAATGAGAATATCTTTTATACATAACTCAATCTTAGAAAGCATAGCATCTCGATTTTTCTTGGGATCAAGAATTACATAGGGCTGGGAGTCGTCAGCATAAATCATGCAGCTTAAACCATGGGCGGTGATGACATCTTCCATTGGTACAAAAAATAAGAAAAAGAAGATTGGTCCCAAAACTGATCCCTGGGGGATGCCAAACAGTAGCTTCTTATCATTCGATAAAGCATCTTTGACTTTTACAGATTGAGTACGATCCAGAAGATAGGACTTGAACCATTCAAGCACTGTGCCATTTATTCCGTAACGGTGACTAAGTCTTTCCAACAACAACGTGTGATCAATGGTATCAAATGCTGAAGATAAATCGAGAAGGACCAAGACTACTTCTTGGTGATCGTCAATGGCATACAAGACATCATTAAAAACACGAAGAAGAGCAGTCTCAGTGCTGTAGAAACTTCGATATGCAGACTGTGGCTTAGCAAGAAGGTGGTTATTGGGGTATTTGGGTAGAAACTACTCGTTCAAGGGTTTTGGATAGGAAAGCAACATTTGTGATTGGACGATAGCTCGAATACATATTAAAATCAAGTTCAGGTCTCTTGAAAGATGGAAGAATAACACCTTTCTTCAAGGATGATGGAAAAATCCCAGACGTGAGCGAAGTGTTTATAATTCGGGTGAGTGGACCTGCCAGAATATCGACCAATTGCTTTATAATATTCGTAGGTCCTGGATCAAGCATGCAGGACTTAGGTTTGGATTGTTTAATAATGTTTTTAACATAACTCTCTGATACTTTCGAGAATTCAGTAAAAGAAACATCACATTGAACGCAATCAATAGTAACAGACATCTCCAGCAATGGTAAACCAGAATTCTGTAAATTGTTCCTCAGAGCTAGAGTTTTGGAGGAAAAAAAATCACTGAAACCATTCGCCACACACTGCAGAGATTGATTTGCAGGAAGACTAGGCAGCGTATAAGCTTGTTTTACTTTAAACAGGTTGTCCACCATGCTAAATAACTTGTTCTGATCAGCATTCTTTATCTGTGCTCTGTAATAATCCAGCTTTACGGAATTTAGTGTCGTGGTGTATGTCCGACATTTATCTCTAAAAATTTGACGATGTATCTCAAGTCCTGTAGTAAGGTATTTACGCTCACACTTGCGTTTCTCTCTTTTTAGTGCTCTCAACGAATCGTTAAACCACGGCGCGTTGGGACGCAAAAAGATCGAACGAGATACTTCCGGCGCATGTCTGTTGATAACTTCCTGCAAAATAGAGTTGTATTCCTTCGTAAGATGATTCACATCGGCATTGGCGGTTTTGGGCGTCTGTGAATGAAGAGAAGAATTCAAAATATCAGCTTTTACAGCAAAATATCAGCTTATACTTGAAATGTGATTTAGATGCTTTAGGTCTTTCGAGCGCGATAGAACACAGCACAGCATTATGGTCAGATGGAAGATCTGTCACTGTATATACATTTGATATTATTTTGCTTTCTTGGCGATCAATGATAAGATCTAAAGTATGTCCACTACGATGGGTGGTTTTCGTAACATGGTGTCTTAGGCCAGCAGACTGTAAAAGCTCTCTGAAAGTTGATGCATGAGCGTCATTTTGTAATTCCATGTGAAAATTGAAATCACCATTTAGTAACAGATACCCAGGAGTTAGTAAGACAACTACTAGGAGGGATGAAAATTCCTGAAAAAAGGTGGAAGGAGTCGCTCGGTTTTTTTTCGATTGAGGAGGTCTGTAAATAGTAATCAGTCTAATAGATGAGCCGCCAGTACTGATGAATAAATCCATACATTCCATTGAAGAGAACGGTTGCCATTCATTCTTCAAAACTGTAAAACCCTTTCGTAAGAAGACGCCCACGCCACCGCCAGTTCTATTCACCCGGGGGACATGATAGAAATTAAAGTCATTTAGAGTGTTTAGAATTTCTGCTATAGTGTTATTATTATGATAGTCGCCAGATAACCAAGATTCAGTAATGGCCAATATATCCAGTCGCTTAGAAATTATTATGTCACAAACCGTCGCTGACTTTTTGTTGAGCGAGTGAGCGTTCCAAGTTGCAAATCGTATCTTCGAGGAAAAATTCGAGAAAGACTTATTGACTTTTACATTGATAAGGTTCGTTGCATTTCTCGCATGGTAATGGTTAATTGACCATATAGAATTTGAATAATTGTTTGTATGCAAAGCCGTGCAAGTTTGAAAATGCTTTTGTTGACGAAAAACCATTTTATTTCTCGCTTCTCTGCCAGATATTCTGACGGGAATACTGTTTCTTTCGTCATGAGTGTGTTGTCGACATATAGGTCCAGGATTCGAATGAACATCACAGCAAAGTGCAAAATAATCTGGCAAAGAAACGGCAGCAGCAAGCGGCAGAGCAATAACCATTGTTCCATGTTTATGTTGTCTTACGATAGGAACTTTCACACTAGCCGAGTAATATTGATTCCACATTAACTTTGGCCTGTAAAACAAACCCAGACTAGCACCTCTCGATCCATCTTTGTTAAAGTATATACTATGAAATAAAAATAAACCTGACAGGCAGAGAATGTTAAAGAGACGTCTAGCCTCCATGACACATATGACACATATATTCAAACAATCATCAATCAAGGATCGTATTTTATTGGTTGACATAGTCACATGCTGGGTCACGTGTCAGCTGAATATATATTAAAGCGTGGTTGAATGCACGTGTTTGCTCTCTTTCGTTGCAGTCGCAGTTGTGTTTAGAACTGTAAATATGGCATCAAGAAAAACTGCGGGACAAATCGCCAAAAAGCAAAAGCCGTCGAAAGAAAGTGTAATCATCAAACCAGCTAGTGAGCAACAAGTGGCTTGCTCGAGTGAACTGAGTGAAACCAGGGCGCTGACTGAAACACAACGGGATAGCAGCAATGCCGGAGCTCCCGTCATCGGCTACGTGCATAAACTGTCGCCTTTGAAGAGAAATAGAAGAAATACGATGAACTATTCTACGCTGGTTCTCCAAACCGAAAGTGATACGATTGAAGCTCTATTGTATTCAAAAAACAAACGTCCTTTACTCGTCGATAGTGTCAACAGTCATACACCGCTCAAGATACAACGCTTTACCAAATCATCTGACGGGAAAAAACTCATCATTAATGACATGACTAAGGTTGGCATTGCCAAACAAGGCGAGTATACATTTCAGTATAAAGAACTTGGCTTCAAGACTTGGCCAATTGAAGAAATTTTACAGTCGGCGAACGAGTGGGATAACGTTTCTCTGCGTGGCAAGGCTATTCATGTTGGAGACATTGCTGAGGTTGGAGCAAAAAAGCTGAAATTACTGCAAGCAACTTTCTCGGATAACACGGGATCCATCGCGGTGGATGTCTGGGAGCAGCACGCTCCTTTGATTGAAAGTGGAAAAGTGTATTTACTTAGAGATTTACATGTCCGTATTTGGGCTGGAGTGAAGAAGGTCAGCACAACGGTGGACTCGGTTGTTTCTGCCATTGTTGATGAAGATCTACAGAAAATTCTTGTCAAGCAAGATGAAATTCAGACTGATAACTACAAGACAATAACGGTACCCATCATCGCATTTGTTCAGAAAGTGGAGACATCAATTGCGTGCAGGAGCTGTTCGCGAAGGCTTCTCCAATCGACCGACAGCAAATTTGTCCACTGCGACAGATGTGGATCCACATTGAGGATTGCCGACTGCCGAGCGCAGGTGTGCGCCAAAGTCGTTGTGGAGTCTTCCGAAGGTGACCAGCTCGATTTAACCATTTTTCAAAATGTTCTGCAAAGTGTCATAGAAGGGGACCTTGCTACATTGGGAGAGGAAAAAGTTGCAGAGGCACTGTTAGTATTTCAAAATGTAAAGATCAAGTACAACACAAACACTTTTGTGGTTATTGAGCTAGAGGTATGAACATACAACGTACATTATGGACACTGGAGATTACTAGAACAATATTTTGCTGTTTTGTTCCCATTTATGTTTTGTTAGTGATCAGAATATAGCCATACAGCAAACACTAATTCGTGATTACCAAATTAATTGACAGTATAAAGTTCAGAACATTAGAACAAATTATGCTATTATGATTGTGTTTAAATTTTTGTTACTTAGAATTTATTGTAAACTCTCTATTTACTATTTAGCCCACCCTCTCAAATGAGTCTCCCTTTTCTATTTACCCCCCCCCCCCCCCCTGTATTAAGCACCTCCTCTGTTAATAACATAAAACTGCATTCATTTCGATAAAATTTATTGATTTTTATATTTTATATAAATATTTTAATTTTCAGTTGCATGACTTTATAATTAACATGCACTTGTGTTACCTTACTTGCCAAAATACAATTGTCAACACACATTGAATTGTCATTGGAAATATTTTTATGATTTTGCAGAGAAATAAATAAGACCCCTCTCTAATAAACCCCCTTCCCCCCATACAGTTGATTTCACATAACTTTTCCCTAAATATTGTAAACTTCGTTCCGAACTTTGTTGTGAAGTTCAAAAGTTCATACTAAAATTCACAAGCTGGTTTGTAAACAAAGCCTCTGATTGGCTTATTTTTATTCAGGGATCAATTAGAGGCTTTGTTTACAAACGGTTTGTGAATGATTATGAACTTTTGTACTTAACAACAAAGTTCGGAATGAAGTTCGCAACATTCAGGGAAAAGTTACATGAAATCAACTGTAATAGAGAGTTACAGTACTGATACTACTGAATAAACATTGGGTAATGAAAAAATATTTTTACCATGGTAATAAATAAAGGTTTTGTTGGTTTTAACTCACTTTTCAATCTAAAGGTGAAACTAAACTAACAGTGGTTCTAAACAACCTTTGGGTTTAAAAGTGTATGAAGTGAACTTGTACAATTGACAAAAATAAAACAGTTTATATCTTTTGAAAGATAATATTGTAAAGCTATATATTATATGTTGAAAGCTTTGCTTTGTTGGTTATATTTTTGCGATTTGATTTGTTCTTGATATTAATGCCCTACTGTGCAAGAAAATTGGTGAATTCTTATACACAAGCTACCCTACTTACAGGTTAACCTAGGGCTTATTATTTTTATGAATATTTCTGCTGTATGATAATGCCTAGCCCTAGGTTGGAAAAGTTGTTTCTATCTTACCTAGCTATGAAACTGTTATGTATCCTTGCTATATCCAAACCTCGCAAGCCAGGATAATTTCAACCCGCCTTTGTACGAGGTTGGCTATATCCTTTATATAAATCTAATAAATTATCATAAAGGGACTTTGAGCTAAATAGTTAGTGTGGCATGTAATTGATGTTGTGAAAGTATTTATTTGGTTGAATTAAAAAAATTGTTCTCTCAGGAGCTGTTTTAAACAACCTCACTATAATTTTTGGCTTGGTTGCCATGGTAACGAAAGGCAGCATCCTTCATATTTTTCATGTTTTTGCTAATATACTGTTGTCCCTCCCCTCCCTAATATAAAATAATAATGCAGGCTCATCTCTAGATGATTTTGCAGCGGATCTACATGCAGATTATGCGCGTGTATGCGTTTTTTCGAGAACAACTGATTCAAACAGAGCAAATTGAAAAATGTGTTTCAATATTTCGTAAATATTGATTACTTTTGTGTAAATATTTCTTAACATTTGGTTAAAAATAACGGACAATGGTATACAGAAAACATTAAATGAAACATTGTTCACTGGGGTAAAGAAATGCGCGATAAAGACGACGATAAAACGTGAACACATTCATGCATTCAATACCAATGTCAACAGTCATCTTCGAATCGTATTTGCCTGGATTCTTGGCATCTTATAAACAGATATTCAAACGTTTGTTCTGATGTGCTTAGTAGCTGTGTATGGTGGACTGTGGATGTAAGTATTTTTCTATCATTGAATGATTGATTCTACTATATTACTATAAGTCGAAATGTTGCAGTATTAAAGGGGCAAATCATTCTTAATACAATGTAATTAGTAATTATTGCAAAATTGTAAATTTACAACATTATATCAAGAGATCAATTTTCTCTACCCAATTTTAGTACAGATATCAATACATTATTTCTTGCTTCATTGTTGTAATTTTATTATTTTAATGCTTCTTGGTATTAATATTAATGAGGTTGTTTTTGTGCTGCATTTTAGGGACTGTAATCACATGTCAAGGCCTACCAAGTTTGAGAGCTTATTTTGGGCCGAATATGTTTACCGAATGTACCACTTGGAGCAATAGGACAAGAATACAGTTACAGATAATTTTATTTTACCATTGAATCATGTAATTTGGTATTGACAATTGATTGTATACAAAAAACTTTGGTATTAAAATGTTGGTCTGCATGCCCCTTTGGTAAGCACAATGAGTGCCATCACTGCCATGTGCATCTTCAAACATCCTTGTTAGCAGCAAGTGGGTTCAGCAAAGAAAATGATGGAAAATGTAGCTATACAAATTGAGAACTGGATTGGGATGTCCTGTTAACACTCAGGAACATCTTTTAAACCAACCATCAAACTGCGGGAAAACCAAATGGTGATGTAAGACATAACAGCATTTGGACGGAATGGTAGAAAAATCAAAATTTAAAAGGATTCTTATTATAAACAAGTAAATCTTGAAAAATAAATGACTTCACATGATAATTGATGATGAGGGATGCCCAGCACAATTTTAATTGTCTAAAATATCGAGTATAGTGTATATCTTAACAGTTGGTAGTTCATATTTGATAACTTATACTTTATAGACGTTTTCCCGAAATGTGGTATTTTTCACCTTTGAAAAAAGATAATTCTTTACCAATTTGACCAAACTGGCTGAAATTTTCAGTGTTAATAGAGCTCATCATGATAAGTGTTTTCAACGATAGAATTTGGCATATGTTGTAATGCTGCCATTTTATCGAGGAAATATGCCAGGATTTTTGGAACAAAATCGAACCAAAATTTTGCAGCAATGTTGTGCAAAAACTACATGCAGCATAAAAAATTCCATCGCTGAAAACAGTCTACTTGCTTTGTAGTCAACAAATAGCTCTTAGTGATAAAATTTCATTAAAATGGTAAGGCTGTATTTTTTCCCAATTAACAGTGATTTGTATGAGACATACACTGTGTTTAATTACTAGATGGCAGGATAAATATTAAAGGTATGAGAAAGACCTTAGTATTTTTAGAATCTATGTTATATAGGCTTTCTAATGATATATAGTTTTGTATAGCTATCTAACAAACTTGGCGAGTAATAGGCTTGCAAATGTGGTCAACCGGAATATCGCAAGTTTAGGTAGACCCCCACCTTAATAGAGAAGCTTATGATATTACACAAAATGCCCCAATATTTTCTCCTGCCTAGTTGAGATAATACAGAAAGCCCTAACCTACCTGAAATAAATTCGTTTTTTGTCAATGAGCGTTTTTTGTGTATTCCAGCAGAGCAGTACTAGACAACTGTACAACAACATGGCCATTTGAGATGAGAGGACGATTTGAAAAGTGCCTGAGTGCCAGTGAGTCGCATTCTTGAATATTTTCATGCGAAAACAAGGGTTTTGGTACCCTGGATTCCAGAGCCTTCGACAGGAAATAATAAATTGAAATGTCGCGAAGGCTCTGGAATCCAGGGTAGGGTTTTGGTCGTGGCTAAAGGTTTTCAAGATGGCCGCCAGTTTTTAAGATCATTAAAATGTAAAAAAATCAACAACCAGCAGCTTGCAACACAACCTCGTTCCCAGGGTAAAGGTCATACTCATAGGTCGAAAATGAAAAGTCGAAGGTGGAACTGAGTCAAGATGCTATTTTTTAATAGTACACGTCAAATTTTTTTAATAATACATGTCAGAGCGTCTTGTCATTTAACTAATTAGGCCCCAGTTACACGATACCGGTTCGTATCGGAGCGACATCAATTTAAGGTGTTGTTTATAATAATTATGTTATGTTATAATTAAAACTGGGGCCTTAGTAAAAATGCAGTGCGACCGTGTACTAATAGATTTGTCTCTTCATTTTAATATTTTGACTCGACGGAACAACTTCCTGGCCGGAGGAATGTAGCGACAGTAGCGTACTATAAGTATAAAATAATACATATAGGCGGAAACGTCGGGAAGTTTTGTTTGTAAAGCACCGCATTGTGTTTGCCAGTTTGGCCTTTTATAGTAGTACTTACACACGGTTAGCATAATGGCTCTTTCCCGACAAGGCGATGAATTGAAGGGCCTTCGCTCGAACATTTAAAATCTATTTATAAGACTGAGCTTATAAGCAAACTGAATTTCAACCTGGTTCGCAGGCTGTTCCCTCTTGTTGAGGAAGAGCCTGGGAACGAGGTTGACTGATTTTCCTCGTTGATTTTTATCGAATCAAATTTCACTTTGTTTATACATCAACAACAATAGAATAATCTAATTAGCACCAACCAATCAAATGACAGATTAAAAAATCTTTTGTCTCATAAACCAATCAGATTTACAACCGAAATACGGTTGTAAAAACATGGACTTTTGTTAAGGTTTGTATCAGGCCGATTTATTTATTTATAGGTCTGATCGCAGGTTACTATTCACCAAAAACGCGTGTCGAAACCTATACTCGCCTGGGCACAGTGCCCCAGCGAGTAAATAGCTGTATACATGGACATGGTGGATCAGAACCAATCGCTTGAAAATTAACATAGTGTAAAAGGTAGCCATTGCCAGTGAGGGTTGATACAGTACTCAGTAGCGCTAACATAAAGTTTTGCTGCCGCTACCTAGTACAATTTACAGAGATATAGACAAGCATAATCAAGTCGAATACAGTTCAGTGAGACTTTATTGAAAAAGAGCTGACAGTTCAGTTAGCAATACTTGCAGATACGCATCGAAGTATCATTAAGCAATAAAAGTATTACAGATTTTTCTA